TTAACATTATTAATATTAACAAAATTATTAGAAAAATAATTTTTATCAAAAACATTTATAAATTTTGTTTCCTCGTTTTATATAACATTATATTAATTTGTTACGTAAATCACATAAATTCATGTATATATTTATATTCATAACAATAATAAATTTTAATATTATATATTTTTTCATAAAACTACGAAATTAAATGAACAAACTTAATTCTCGTCTGCCCAATCACACTTTAACCATTCTATTATGGATTGAATAAAAGGTAGATTTTCTTTTTCTTCATCTAAAAGTACAACGTCTTCATGATACTCCTTTACATCCATGTTGATAAGTTCCTCGACGGCAAACCATTCAGCATCTTCTGCGTCACCCTCATTAAGTATACATAACACTTCGTCTTTGCGACTGTTAACTATACGTGCTGGAGTTTTCGTGGCAACTCTTTTTACTCTTTGACCAGGATGGACTTCTTTTTTATGGCTTTGTACATTTTTTATACTCGCAAAGTATAAATAACAAAAAGGGCATATTCTGTCGAATAAACTCTCTGTAAGAGTTTGACAATGGTAGTCATAAGGTAAAATAGGATGGTTTTTACGATCTTCCGTACGATCTTGTACTTGCAGGGTGTCAATTGATCTTACGATGAAACCTTGTATTAGAAATATGAATCGCGGGAAAGATAAAATCATTTATGTCGAACGTCTAATGATTACGTGAAATAATTCGAATGCCCCACCCCCCCCCGTACGTCATCTATAATAAACAAATAACATACTCCCCCCCTCCAAGGTGTTTACGTAATTAATGGATGGCCCCTAATTTGTTAATGAAATTTAAAAATAACTGTAACTGTCTCTGTGATCCTTTAAAAATACAAAATACATCATCCACATATCTATACTAACACATAAGATTTACATTTAACGGACTCGACATAATTTTATTTTCTAAAGAATTCATAAAAATCTCTGCTAGTAACGGGCTGAGTGGATTACCCATTATCAGTCTATCTTTAACCATGTATAAATTATTATTAAATTCAAAATAGTTCTGATTCAGACAACATTTTAAAGTCTTCTTAATATTGTTTCTAATAAAGTCATCAGTTTTATTCTGCAGTATCAAATCTTCCACAATTTCAATCACTTCACTGACCGGCACACTTGGAAAAAGGTTTTTGACATCAAATGATACCATTCCATATCTGTCACAAACCTCTAAATTCTTAGTTTTACCAATTAGTTCTAATGAATTTTTAATATTATATTTCGACTCAAACTTTGTATCAAATAAAATAATGTCTATTAATTTCTTAGAAATTGTATACGATGGTGCGTTAATAAATGACACTACAGGTCGTATAGGGCAATTCTCTGTATGTAATTTTAAAAACGAATACAATTTAGGTGGTTGAGTGTTCATGACAACTAATAAATAATAGTGATTGTTACGGAAAATCAGGCTCTTTTTATACATATTGATCACTTCTTTTTGATACTTGGTCGTTGGGTCTTTCGATAGTAATACAAAATTATCTGTATTTAAAAATTCCAATGTTTTTGATAATATGTATAAATGCTTATATAGAGCTATAACCGTTTGGCCTTTATCAGCTCTAGTCATGATTACGTTGTTTGTTTTGATTTTCTTCTTAATATCAAAAGTCGTTCTCGCTAATGATTTATTGATGTCTGTGTATTTATCTTTTTCCACTATAATATCAGCTAAACGTTGTATTTCTATAGTAACTTTTTGCACTAGTTTATCTGGTAAACTTCTTTTATTATTTAAAATAGTTTCAACTTCTGCTCCCATCAATCGTTTAATATTATTAGTCTTGTCATGGTTAAAATTAAATTTAAAACCATATTCTAGTAGTTCAGTTTCTTTTTCATTAAAATCACACTTAGAAAAATTTATAAATTTGTTATAAAACTTATGGTCTTCAACATTGTCCCTATTACTATTATTTAATTTCACTTTAGTATAAATTTTATAGCACTTGAATTTATTAGGTTTTCGATTTTGGATGAAAAATTTTTTTGTTATAATATTATCAACTTTTAGTCTAGTATTTGCATCTACCACATCAAATTCCACATTATTGAGTCTTGATAACAGTTCAGTGTGAACGACTTTTAAATAAACACTTAAAACATCTCGTTTGTAAAATATCTTCTTTCTATCGCTTTTAAGCCACCTTGTTATTGACATTTCTTTAGCCTTTCTAGATGAAATATTGTCGAAATTCGTCCTGATATGTATGTATCTTGGTTTCAGTTTCTCTTGAATGCAAATAATTATTATAAAACCAAATATTCTGTGTACATACTTTAACACGTAAAAATAGTTTAAAATACCAAATGACCAAAAAGCCAAAGTTAGCTTTCTTACAATAACTAATACTTTCGGTCGTTACCTGATGAAGATTCAATTCCATATTAAAATCAAATGAAAAATAAGTTTATAAATAAATCTTCACAATTTATTGTCATATATTAATGTTACAATTGTTTCGGTACACTATACCTTCCTCAGACACAGAGATTTATAAACTAAACTCTATTCGGTATATTAATCTTAGTATATGATGTAGATTTAGTAAGTTCAGAATTGCAGAAATGCTGCAAAGTGATATTATTTTCAATACCTGACCTGCTACTTTCGTACATAAATAGTGTTGATTTTCAATCTCGAAGACTATTCTGATTGACAAAAAAAAATAGCCGTAAAATGCCATGCCATAGACGGTCAAATAAAGGATAGACCAGGGCACTAAATTCCTCTAATCAAATGTCTGTTACACCATCTCTTACAGCACGCAGCCCTACAATGTAATATTTCGTACTCCTTCCTTACCAGAACGTAAACTTACCCTTTGTCGTCTAACACAATAGTAAGGTACAGCCTTGAGGCTCCCTGAGCTGATTTAGATCTTGTTATTGTTTAGAATGTAATACTTTGTAGCGTTTGTTAAGAACTGAAACCCCGTGAAAAATAAGAAACTTAAAACTAGTTGGGAAGTTAATTTTAAAATTTATGCAAAGTAATTTTCTTGCTCCCCTCCCCGAAAGTATGAGCCTTCGTCGTATCTTTACGCTCC